GAAGTTGTCCTCAATGCAATCCAAGAACCTCCTGGATTGCCTATGCCTGGCTGTGTTACCCTTCCAACAGATGTCAGGGTGGTTGAAGTCACCCATGAGGACCAGGGTCTGTGAACGTGATGCCGCCCCATCTGCCTATAAAGGGCTTCATCCACTTGGTCGTCTTGGTCAGGTGGCCCGTAGCAGACTCCCACTGTAATGTCCCCTGCTCCCAATTTCTCTTTAGTCCTGACCCATAGGCTCTCAGTTGGCTCTTTATCCATCCCTAGGCTGAGCTCCATGCATTCCAGCTGCTCATTAACATATAAGGCAACACAACCTCCTCATTTACCCTGTCTGTCTCTCCTGCAGAGCCATGGCAACACTCCAGTCATAGGAGTCATCCCACCAAGTTTCCACGACGCCAATGAGATCCTAGCCTTGGAGGTGTGCACACATCTCTAGCTCCTCCTGTTTGTTCCCCATGCTACGTGCATTTGCATAGAGGCACTTCAGCCGTGTCTTCGTTGAGGCTGACCTGGCTGGAGCAGCTGTAATTACTTTGCGCTGCTCTCCAGGCAGGATTCCTTTGCAGTGTATTAACGGTGCATCCCCATTGGCTCCTGTTTGTCCAGAAGCTTCTGGCTCGTCTATGTAAGACTTTGAGCATGCTGCAGCATAGTCAGCACATTTTGGAGCTAATGGCTGCAGGCCCTCACCAGCACCCTGTTCCTCTTTCCTTGGTACAACATCCATTGGCTGGGCCCGGGCAAACCCCGTAATATACCCTTCCTCCGTCCAATCCATTCCATTGTTGAAAAACCCCAAATTGTGGCGGTGACACCAGCCACAGAGCCACATATTAACAGACTGAGCTCGTCTGTTCCTTTCAATGTCATTGCCCGCAATGGGAAGTAGGGATGAAAAAATAACCTGTGAATGAAAGTTTCATTCTGGAACTCAAAAAGTCTCGTAAAAAAGCCTTCAGCGTAGAAAATAAAAGATTAGACTAGTGGCTCAGGGAACAAATATGCTGTCCCCATTCTTGGTTTTGGTTTTGGTTTTTTTTTTTCTGCTTGTAAAATTAATATTGGAAGTTTGCTAACATTTTCACTTTTCCAGTAACTGCAAGTCTTGGCACTGCTTCTTACTAAATACCTTGTGATAGAAAGCAATTTAATTTTTTTTTTTTCCTTTGAGTGCTTTGAAGTCATTCTAGAAAGTGTGCTACCTGAAGCATCAAGTAAAAACTAGAAGCCGACTGCATTTTTTCTAATAATACTGCAGTTTTTAATTGAAAAGGATTTATAATTTTCCAAGACTGTCTCTGTTACTAGACAAAACATATTTCAAACTCCACAAAATATAAATGTGATCTATGGTAAATTCAGAGGATCTTCATTTTTACTGCATGGCTTTCTGTGTCTACCTTGAGCTTTTAGCTTTTTAAAACAGGAAACAATGAAAGAGACAACTAATATTAAGGAACATTTCAGACTATGAACTCTAAGCCTCAGACTACAAAAGTTCTTTCATTTTTGGAGAATGTAAAGACCCGATAAAAATGATTCCAAGCTCGATAGTATTTTTTGTAATTATGAGATTTATCACAGCAGATGAAGGTGAATTGTAGGATTTGCTGTTTAATTTAAAATGGTTTTGGTGTTTTAAACACTCAAACAGCTCAAACAAGCTGTACAAAATCCAGTACTTTGCTGTTTCACCAGTGTAAATTAGCAAAGCTAACACAAGATTTTTTTCTAGACAAAGTTTTCTCAGTAGTACAACTTAATTCTTACAATTACAGAGTAGTGACTTTAAAAGAAGTGAAAACCTAATGGAATGTGTAGGCGTTAATGCTAGTTGCAACACAACTATTTTGTTCACACTGAATTGCAACACTTTAAATATTTCTATTTAAAAAAAAACATTCTTTTATTTTAATATTTGAAACGGAAGTGGCTAGTATTGTGGTTTTTCAATTGGATATTAAGGTAAGGACAGAAGTAGTTAAGATCAAGTTTTTAAAGGATGCATTTATCATTTTTCTCCTCAAATTTAACTTTAGGCAAAACAAAGTCTATATAATACACTACTAAACAGAATACATGTCAGTATACTGTAGTTAGCATGTACTGTGACACACTATATTTAACTCCCATTCACTGTAACAAAAATTAAGACATTTATTTTAAAGAGACAATACCACAAACCTGAGCATCTGCTCCACCTGAAGCAAATTTTTCACCACCTTTTGAAAAAGCCACGGAAAATACAGGTCCCTAAAAGAAAAAAATTAGCATAGAGTGAAATTATGCTATTACTGTAATCATAGTATTCTAATGCAGAGACAAACACACTTATGCCATGATCTAATATAAATAGATTTTTCATTTTTAATAAAATAAGAAACACTAACTGTAGTGAATTTTTTGCAAAGCAACTTGATTGAAGAGTTAATATTGCACGTCTTTGTAAGATGCTGCATTACAATTGCTGCAATCAATACTAGGAAGATAGTGGCTTCCTTAGATTTTATGCTTTAAGTGTGCAATGAAAAATTATCAAATACATATTACATTACTCAAGACAATGCACTTGAGTGATTCATTATGAAAAGTAGGGTTTGTTTCGTATTAAGAGGAAAGGGATGTCTACCATTCTTCACAAAAGTTAGCTTCCATAAGCTTCCTCCTCCATAGAAAGCACTGTTTTTCAAAAGACAGACTAATGTGCCAAATAATTGATTTTGACTGCTAAGAAAGTGAATTACTAATGAATTCAGAACATGATCTATTACTTGACATTAAGCGTGCATACAATATTAACAGATTAACTGCATGATCATAGGCAAAATTGATGTATTTCCTGACGCACTTGTGACAAGATGTATTAATACAACACTTTGCTGTCCACTAAAGTTTATTTCCAAGTTGCGAGATACAAGACACAGTGGCATAAATATTACTTTCACTTTGAAGAGATACTGAATAACCTATTAAGATCTTCATATAAATGGGATTATTGTGTATACCTTGTGTCCATGAAGAGTGTAAATAAGTCTTCCTTCTAAGAGATCCAAAATCTTAAGGGTACCGTCAGTAGAAGCAGTGATGAGATAGTTACCAGAAGGATGGAACGATACACAATTAACCCCTGCTCTGTGAACTAATTTACAGAAAACAATATTCAAAGACTATAGATATCTACTAACAGGAAACGTACACTTTATTTCTTCACTCTTTTCTACTTCCCAAAGAACAACCTACTTCATTTAAGGGAAAAACAACCAAAGTGCTGGAGCACAGCAGATTCCCCAAAGTATTTGCTCAGTTCTGTTCTAAAAAATTAAGAGAAGCATTGCAGAAGAATAATCAGGATTCAGTCTGGGTTTTTGGGGTTGCTACGCTACAAAAAGATTACTTACAAAATGGCTGTGTGACTTGTTTGTCCACTTTCACCAGTAAGGAATGAAATCATGTAATCTAAATAAATCACATTTCATTGCCAAGAGCTCCATTCTAAAGAAAATACAAACTACATTGTTTTTACCTTTGTAATGCTGCAGTAGCTTGTTCATTCGAATATCCCACAGTTTCACTGTATGATTGGAACCTGCAGATGCTATACATGTACCACTTGGGTTGAAATCCACAAAATTTGCAAATCTAAATATAATTAATGAAAATAAATTGATGACATGTTTCCACAGAAATATTTGGAGATAAATATATCTATATGTATGTAAAAAACAATGTTAACACTGAGTTGACACAAACTTGTATGGAATCCACATGTATGGAAACTCAAATAATGTATTTCAAGCAACTAAAATAAGCATGAGAAAACAAGATGTGCGTGACAGATCAGACTGCATTATCTGGCTTTTGTTAAAAAGACAGTATAATTATCCTGACTCAAACCTTCACAGTTGGACTACAAAGTTCCTAGAAGAAAGTGCTGCAAGGAGTTTGTAGGCCACAAGTAAAATAACTTTGTCTAAGAACAGAGCACCTAGCTGTAGCCTTTTAGCTTGGGAAAAGGATAGAGAGAACAGTTATGAAATTAGCAAAGCACATGTACAAGATTAATAATCCATTGTATTTTTTGATTAAAGCTTTGGCTCCAAGAGATTTAAGAAAACTGCAAACAAGTAAAAGCAAGTATTTTCTAAACCAAAATATGGCAGGTCACTGAGGCTAACAAAATACTGTTTTCAACACGTGGAGAATTCTTAAACTTCTCTTCTTGTTCAAGCATCCAATATCAAATAGCATTATCAAAATGGAGGAAAAAGATGAAAACATTCAAAAATCCAAGAACAACCTGACTTCTCTCTGGTTTATTTCTTGGCGATGGGAAAACAGCAGGATAAGTGCAGCCAGTTAACCTCTTTAGAAAAATGTGAAATTAATTATTTAGTTCACATGGGTGTTAGAAGAAGTTTAATCTATTTTCAGATACAACATATATAGGTTAACACCACAAAACATGAATTTAATCTCATTAAAACTACACATTTACATTTCCACTTTTTTGTAGTAACACTTACCCTCCATAATCTAAGAGGCTATCAACACAAATTTTATTTCTTGTATCCCAGATCTTAACAGATTTATCCTCACTGCAAGATGCTATTAGTCTTCCATCAGGTGAAAATCTGGAACATGCAAGCATATACATTACTAAACAACTGATACTACCTAGATTAGTGTTAGAGACATAAGTACCAAAACACCAGAACCGAGAAAGTCTGTTTGGAATTACAACACGTAACATTCAAAGAACATTCAAATTTCTCATATTTCTCATGGAGTAATAAAACCAAAAAGCTTCTCCCCTCACTCCTCCCCCCCATTTCACAACCAGTTCCAACTGAAAACATCCATAACCAAGAGAAAGGGGTGGAGGGGAGGTAACAGCAGCCTAAGGTTGTCATTTCACACGCCAAAGAGATTATTATAGAAAACTATAGGCAAAAAGACATAGAGGACACAGTAGAACCTTGCGTTCAATTTTAACCTACATATATATTCTCCTGTGAGTTCTCTCTAGACTGTCAGCAAAACATTTGTGATTATTCCTAGACTATCAGAATGGGTTTTTAAACAGAACAATCAATCTGTCTGTAATTTCACCAATCCTTATTATTTTTCATATTAAGCAACTGCACAAGGACATTAGAACACTGTTCAAGAACTTCCACATATCATTTCCTAGAGCTTTTATTTTTCTTCTCAACAATCAGATACTTTGGAATTTTGTAGGGCTCTGCACTTCAGTGTTAAATTTCTTTCTCAAGAGATTTAAATTGGGCCTCTCAGCTGCAGATTTTCCATTAATATTGGGGGGGGGGGGAGAAGAGCAAAGAACAATCTTTTCTTGTCTTTGAAGAGCTGCCCTGCCTTTAAATAGAATGTGAATCTTAACTTGCAGTACAAAGACCATTTCTTTTACCTTTTCCAATTACGTAAGCTTAACTCATTTTGACTCATGACCATTCTTGCGTGCCACTACTGTTCCAAGAATAGTTGAGAAAACCCCTACTGTGCATAATAAATCTAGAAACAAGTGAATGCTGTGAAATACATTAATACAGCACAAAAAACATACAGGACTGGGGAAACAAACAGGATACTGACTGAAAATAGACACCAAAGACCTTATTTTTCCTTTAAAGCAAAGGAATTAACACTCAGCAACAGATTCAATATGTACATATATTAACACAGAGCAAGCTTGCAGACTTTGGCTAGGAGATATATATAAAATGTGTGTGTAAGACTGATTCATTAAAATTTTATTATTAGTGATAGATCATTATTTGTCATCCATAGATTTTTCCTTTTTGATTTGTCCTAAGAAATCAAAACACTTTGTTAGGAGTTCTGCTTCTTTACAAAGAGAACAAAAAGAACGCTTACTTGGCACAGCGAACCCAATGAGTGTGTTGGAACAGGGAAAACAAAAGGTGCTGACGGCGAACACTCCATATTTTTATTGATTTATCATTGGATGCTGAAACTAGTAAGTGGCCATCATGTGAGAAGCTCACGCTACGAACAGATGCTGTATGGCCCTTCAGTACTGATGATTCTCCATGACTAGGAAAAAAAAAAAACCACAATCCAAAACACAATTATATTAAACTAAAAGAGTTTAAAAACCCATAAAATTCAAGTTAACATATCTGGAATCTTATCCAAACAAAAAAGCAACATAGACAGGCTAAATCTTAGTGCTGCCAATGTTTTTTGGCTCATTTGTATATTAAATATTAGAATAACAGACTTTAAAGTAATTGTATTGAATATGACCAATTTTAGAAAACAGCGCAATTAACCAGCAGCACTAGCCTACCTACATTTGAAAGAATTGATTATGTTTTTTGATATAATCTACAAAACACTTAAAGGAACATCAGTCTAAGATCATTCTGAATAGCCTGTAATCACTACTACTTGAGACCAGGCTAAAAAGACAAGTCAAGTCAAAGTTGTTTGGGTTTTTTGTTCCCCAAAAAATGCTTTTTTTTTTTTTTGCTTCCTTCATCACTTGTCTCCCCAAAATGAAATGCATCCATGCAACCCTTATTAAAAGAAATTTATCCTTTAAGCCAGAGAAATACTACCAAGCATAGTCCTACAGACATGAAATTACGACTTGCTATATTTTTCTTTGGAAACTATAGAATATTCAGTAAAGAACAAAGCAACACAGTAAAGAACTGTGTTGCTTGTGCTCCCAATCTCTGTTTCTGTCAAAGCCCAGTGAGGAATGTGGGAAGGAAAGAGAAATTTTTCTTGGGTAAAGACTGCAATATGCACATTGCATGTTGATGAAATGCAGAGGCAGCATCGCCCAGTTATACTCACATGCAAGGAATCCAGAGTCTGACAGTACGATCCTGAGAAGCTGTAGCAAGGAGCTGCCCATCTGGTGAGAACTGTACGCTGGTCACCGCTTCCGCATGGCCGACAAATTTGTAAGCTCTGCATTGTGTCTTCAGCTTCCACACCATAAGAAACCTATCCAAAGAGGAGGTAGCTGGCAAGAAATACAAGATATTATGAGTCCACTCACTGTTATCAGAAAAATCAGAGCTAATGACTATGGATTTGGATTCACCAGCGAACTTAGTGGGTATTAAGGGGAGGGAGCGGTTATTGGGTTTTAATGGATACTTGGCCTGAGCAGAGGCCTGGCAGCCAGCAATGCCAACACCAGGCTTTTGGAAGGACACCAGAAGACTGGGAGAAGTAAAGGATAATTCTTAACTCTCCCACATATTAAGCAAACCGGTTTACAAGTACTTTAAAGATATAGAACAAAAAATCCAATGCTGAACATCATGTACACATCATTAAGTATGAATCCAGATCTGGCATTACCAAATACTAAGAGCAAGAGACATTCTTCAGTGATCTCACTTTGATCTCTGAGATGCAATTTGTTTCAAGCATCAAGTGTTTAACTCTGAAAAGACAGGCAACAAACTCAAGATATCATTTCTAACTCTTCAGATATCTACACTAAAGTGACTATCCAAATATGATAATTCTGTAACCCTATTTAAGTACCTATATTTTAATACATTTGTCTAGTTCAAAACACAATGTGAAGTTGGTCTGATAATAGAAAGAGATGATTTTTTTTTTTTTGCAGTCACTTTACAGGTGAACCATACTATCTACATTTGAGAAGGTAGACACAGCTTTTACCAGAGCTTGATCATTTTCAGGAAACTATAAGCAGCAAAAGTTGAAAATCAGTCAAATTAAACTGAAGAGTGTGATATTCCCACACCCCTATTATCTTCATCTCTGCTAAATGGTAGCATGCAGGTGAGAAATAAAAACAAGGGATTCACACTGCCACCCCTCAATTATAAGATTCCCAGCCTTAGTACAGAAAGAGAGGGAGAGGAAGAACAGGGACCTCCTGGAAGTTGAAGAGAACATGAAAAGGATGGCTCTTCCTTTCTCAACCTCTTTCAGGCACCGACAGAGCACAAAGGAATGGAGTCTGTTTATCAGCATGTGTATCAAGGCAAGCCTCAAACAAAATATTAGATATTAAACTCTCCTTAAGAATGTGGCAGAGATATTATTTTTACTCCCAAAAATAAAAGTTTTACTCCCTTCTGGTAAAAGATGTGGGACCAGATTACCCCTATGCCCATATCAATAGACCTAAATTTGGCAAAGTAGTACAGGATATTCCCCCCCCAACTTTTCAGAACTCTATTTTACAGCAGGCTTTTTCTAATTGCACTTGAATGATTTCTTTTTTCCCTTTGATTCAGAAAAACGTGACCTAGAGTGGCACAAAACAGAAAGGAAAAAGTGAAACGTAAGGCAAAACGGAATTTGAAGGCACTACATTGGAAACATGGAACAGACAAAATTGATGGTTTCTAAAACAAATAATGCACAAACTGCCAATTACCTGTGGAACATTAAGAGGTACCTTGTGAACTGCACGAAGGTCATGTAATACCAGTCCTCTTTGCTTTCAGTTCTAAAAACTGAAGGTAATATTTTAAAAGACAATAATACAGTAAATTCAAAGCCTGGTTTCTTGTAGCTTGCTCTCTCGCAGATGGATTATCCCGAGGTTAATGAGACACAACCAGTGACCTGAAGTTCTCCTTTCCCTGGGACATCCACAAGTGTCTTCCTTGCTCTCCCTCTAGACTCCCTGTTGCCTACACTACAGCATCCTCTCTCCATCCTGAAGTAGGTTTCTCTCTTGAAGCCACCTGCTCATTACCGTGACACTCAAAGGCTGTTATTATCTCTGATGCTGCAGTTCCAGCCTAGCTGACACCACCCTGAGGGTGGTAGAGGGCAGAGATTCAGGACCTGCGCAGGAAAGGGGGAGTAACCAAGCGATCCGTTGCAGAATCATTTTCTTAAGGCACGCCTGGTGATGTAAGTCTATATCCAAACAGTATAGGAGAGGCATAAACCCAGAAAAGGAAACTCTACGACAAAACCCTGAATCTACATTCAACTTTAGCCCCCATCCTGCCAAGGAAACCAGTATGAAGGCTCAGCCAAGCCAGGTTGTTCAAGCAGGCTGAAGTAAACTTTGGTGCTTATGGCCAACTCCTAAGCATTTTGCTGTATTGTAAACATTCTACCTTAGCTAACCACAGGTGCTAAATACAAGAGTCTGTAGGGTAACAGTGAGGCCAGCAATAATTTCCATTATCAATACTAATCTTAAAAACAGTTTAATACATGAAAATTCTGCTGCATAGTTTACTATTATCAAATACATTTCTCTCTTTTTTTTTTATTCCATTTTAAGGGATTTTGCCTAGTTTATAGCAATGCTTCTCCAATTTACTCAAGCACAGTATCTTAAGAATTGCTGCTTCACCCTTTTATGCATTCTTCTCCCCTCAAGTTCAAAGTGTTCAAAAGGAGGGGAGCAAGGACCTTTCAGGACAGATAACACACGGGGTCCTACAGCAATGCCACCAGACCCAGGTGTTACGTTCTGTCAGCGCTTGCTAAGTACGCCAGCACCCTACAGTCTGATTTTCAATTACCAGAAGACCACTAAATGGTCCACAATAGATCTCTAAGGCTAACTTAAAGTACTGGAACTGAAACAAAAGAAACACAGAAGGTCCAGAACAATTTTTCTTTTAAGATGGGCTGTACCACAAACATGCGCATGATCCTCAAAGAAAACACGACATAACCAGAACCTTGTTTAGAGGTGAAAGACAAAATTTGTCCTTGTTGTAGTAAGAGAAGTATTTGATCAACTGCAAAACATAACTAGAAAGAAGAAAGCTGAGAGTTCACACTGAACTAACTCAAATATGCAACTTAGTCCAGTTTATAACCTCAATACCTTTTTTTTTTTCTTTTCTTAAACCATCATTGCTTTCTGTACACGCTCAAGTATAGCTGATGCATCTCTAGGTAATTTGCTTTTCTGGTGATGAATTATAACAGAATTGAACGCCAAAGAGTAAAGACTTGGCCTTATGGAAAGGCCAAGTTTACACACCACTCTGCTGCAGTTCTCTAAACAGATATCCGGGCTTCACATATGCCACAAAAAAATATTTTTTGGTATTTGCAATGAAACCGAGTTCAACTTATAAGTTGTAAATATTGACCGTATACATTTTCGTATATACACGTATGTGAAGACACAAGTTGCTGCAATATGGAATTACCATTACACTCTATTTCCCAGAATACCACAGTAGTGACTATAACAAAGTCATGCAAAGATCTGTAGAGACATACTTAGCCAGGCTTTAACACCCAGATGTACCACTGGATCACCCTTCTCTCCCCATCCACCCCCAAATGCTGAAGCATCTCCAATATAATTAACTCACTCAGAGCAAGAATTGTCGTTCAGATGGAACACAGGGCTGTGCATGTGATGTGTGTATATATATTCAAACACCACCACCACAAAACCCACACACTTTACAGGAAACTTGCAAATCTCAGTGTGATAAGGTGCACCGTCACTATACAAACACACTTAATAGTGATTCACAAGATTTCCTACTTGGAGGAAAACAATTATTAATTGAACCTTTCTCAAGGGAACCAATCTGGAATTCTAAGCACAGTGGATAAGTTACAAGGAATTTTTCATAACTCCCAGAAGTTCAAGTTCATGGCAGTTTTTACTGTATACTCTATGTATTTACACAAGTGGAAGATAATTGAAGAGTCATCACAGCAGCCAACATTTAATTATCATTCTGGATTTTATTTTTTCCAAAATAAATCTCAAAGCCCTCCCACATTTATTCAGTGTTATGTTTACATTCAATTTCTTTTAAGTCACTTAAAATCAGTAGTTTAAAATATATACAAGTGTTCCCCAAATTTTCAAAGTCAAACAGAATATAAAATCTTTCAGAGTTTTGGATTTTCCAGAAACCTGTGCACACTGAAAAACAACTGGATTGTAGTATTTCCATAGAATTGCTGCAACTCAGTTCAAAACTAGTGGAGCTTGAAATGGCAAGGGTTTTTTTCTTCTCTCTTTCTCTCTCCTTCTCTAGCCCATGCTCCCCCCACCCCCCCAACTTTTTTATTCCCATTGGGAATTTTTTTTTTTTCCTCAGGGCCAGGTTATTTACTTTTGCTTTTTTCTTTTAGTTTTTAAAATCCACAAAAATAGAATGGGAAGTGGGGGGAGAAGGACGAAGGGTTCAGATACATACAGAGAGAATAACTTTTCAAACTTTAAGAGGCAGATTCACTTAGACTTATTGCTTCCATAGATAAGGAACACTTTGAATGTCAGTTGTAACACAAAGGTAGTTCTTTATATGAAATTTAATTTTTGCCAAGTCCTAAAAAAGTTAATTGTATAAAAGTTGCATAGTCTATATTCACACCATTTAATTACTTTCATCTGAGGAGACATGCATTGCACATACAACTTATGCTCTGCCATGTAGAACTCAGGCCTTTTTCCTGTCATTTCTATTGGATTTAACAGTCTACAGCAAACTTTCCACAAAAGCACATACTTTATATAATTTATTGCCCCAGTACATAATGACTGGCTGCCTTTTAAAATTTGATAAATGGTTCATAACTTGTAGGTCCACAAAAGAATTCCTTGCTGCAGAGTAGAATGGAATTTTTCAGGAATGTCTCCCTTATATAGGAAAGAAGTGCCCTTTTTTTAAAAAAGAAAAACAAAAAAGAACCCCAAAAAAACCCACAAACAACAAATCAGCTTAGGGGAAAAAAAGAAAAAAAAAAATCAAATTGCAAGTAACCTCCTAAAAATAAGTTAAAGACTTAAAACAATCCATGCCACACAGTGGCAAGCATTTTTAGCATGGTTCAACACTACATCCCCAGCTCCAAATTTTCTTCTTCTGTTCCCTTTCTATCTTAGCCTGCTTCCACCCAAGCCTCTCAACTCTTTAAAACGACTGAGATTCAAGAATACGTCTTAATCTACTCTTGCTTTATTTTTGGCAAGTCTTCACTTATTTCAGGTCTCACTTGCTCCCTTTTAACCCTTCTGCCTACT